AAAAACTAATGATGTAATGTATGGTGATTAACATAACATAATAAAAAAACTAATGATGTAATGTATGGTGATTACCATAACATAATAAAATTTTAAAAAAAGAAAGGAGGATTTATTAACTTAATAATATGTTCAATAAAAAAACAAAGTAATATTTACATAGAATTCTATTTGTAATAATTGGATCTCTGTGCATCTGTGAAATGAACACAATTTTAATACTGGCCATTGATGAGTAGCTGGATGTTAAGTAATCTTGTATCTTTCCCATAAACTTAATTAATTGCATGTGTTGTTTGCACTGTCATCACTAAGAATTAATCCATTTATGAAAAACATAACAAGAGGTTTTCAAGAGTATTCTTTTTATTTTAGGTCATTGTCAAGAAGGGAACATAAAGGCATTTTTTTTCTGTTTCCAGGAGGAGAGAGCAATTGTGGTAAAAGGTTTTTCATTTAAATCTTCTTCCCGATTTTTATGTTTTCCTTTAGTGTATAAAATGGGCTAAGTGTACCTCAATATATCATAAGAATTAAATAACATATTTAAAAGATGCAATTTTCAGCAAGTTATTAGTCTTTCATTACTGATTGAAGAGTTTTAAGACAAATCAAATATTTCATTATCTATTGAATATTTTACTTTACAATCTCATATAATTTATTTGTTGTTCATAGAATATATCATTTATCAGCACCTCTCCATCACTGTCCAAATCCCTTCGCATCGCAATGTACTTTATTGAAATTGTATTAAATATGTTCCTATCTGTAAAGCTTAAACCTTTTCACATTATACAAAATTGAATTCACTACCCAGCTTTTATATATGTGTAAAAATAATAGATATTTATTTTTTTCTTCTTTATCTTTTCTTTTAAAGATTTTAATTTAATAGCCTTTACACATGATCAGGAAACCAGGATTTTTGTTTTTGTTTTTGTTTATGCTTTATTTTCATTTTAAAAAATGGTAAAGATGAGAGAGGGTTTAAGATAAGAACTGGAGGGGCGCCTGGGTGACTCAGTCGTTAAGCGTCTGCCTTCGGCTCAGGTCATGATCCCCGGGTCCTGGGATCGAGCCCCACATCGGGCTCCCTGCTCAGCAGGAAGCCTGCTTCTCCCTCTCCCACTCCCCCTGCTTGTGTTCCCACTCTCTCTGTGTCTCTCTCTGTCAAATAAATAAATAAAATCTTTAAAAAAATTTTTTAAAAATAAATCAAGTGGTCATTTAGCAGAGGATAGATAGAATAAATTAATGTACATTAATACAATGGAATGCATGGCCTGTATTCATCATACTTATTTATATATAATGTTTATATAATGACATCACTTATTTAAAAATTAAAAATTCAGTAGACAACAAAATATAGTTATCAATAGGCAATGTGATATCAGTCAGTGGTTTTTTGCTGTTTCTACAGAAATCTTTACGTGGTGAATGCGTTTAATGGGAACGAGTTTGTGTATCTGTGTAAGTACCTGGGCGTGAATAGGTGTGTATTTGTTTTGTAAATTATGAAATTATCACAAAAATCAATTCTAGGAGAGTATAGAGATTGGAGAATTAGAAATAAGGAATGCTTGTTGAATGGGGTCATTTTGCTATCCTAAAATAGGTATAATTTTGGGTGGTAAGGTAGAGAGGGACACAAATTTTTTTAAAGGTCTGTATTTCTTGTTCAATCACCTTACCCCAACAAAATATCAGAAAATAAACCACCACAGTATAAGGTATCTCGCTTATTCCTGTGAGACTAAGTGTTGAGCACCCAGGGACCAGACTCAGAGATGACTATATAATCCAGGTCAATCAGGAGACAATGTTGAAGCCTCCTGCAGAAAGAACTGCATGGAAAGGAGGTCAGTAATTCTGGGGTAGGTACTAACAATTTTTGCTGTTTTTCCGATTTTACTATAAATTTTTGTGTTTTTCTAATCCTTTTTTAACTGAAAACATGATATAAAACCAAAGAAGTGTATATGTTATACAAACTTTCATCTCAATTTCTTTTATCGATCTACTTATTTAAAATAAATATACACATAGAAAGCAGGGAAAACAAAGAAAGCAAGTATAGATTGCACAGATGTCACTTTTTAATTGTTTTTCATGTCTTACTTGTATTTTTATATATTCTTTAAAAGTTTATTAAGGAAGCATTTTTTTTTTTTTAAGATGTGTCTACAGGGAGTGATATTTAAATGAGTTTAAGCCAAGGGTTTGGAGACCTGCACATTGATCACTAGATCATTATTCAGATTTTTTTTATCTCATCTTCATCTAACTTCATCTTCACTTTTCCTAAATTCTCACAAACAGAGGTGGACTTGTATGAGATTACATACAATATAATTGATTTGGGTAAGATAAAACAGTGGAACATAAAAATCAATTGACCTCTCAACCACCATTTTTTTAAAGCAAAAGGAGGCAGATTTCAGAGATATTTAAAGGTAAAAGGGATAAAATAAAACAATATTAAAAAGTCTAGGAAAGTTGGGAAAGGTACAGTTCAGACTTTAATCTCTCTGGGGTGTAGGATTGTGGACATGAGTATTTTTAACATGCCTCTTACAGATCTGAACTATTGGTGAATAGACCATGAAAATTCTAGTAAATTGGGGCAGAGAGACTCACACAGTAAACCACACTCCCTCGTTTGCTGCTCTGTCATCTGCTACCAGAATCTCTATGATTAGAGCCCAAATGTTCTTCATAATCTCCCTTGAGTAACAGCAACTGTCAGAAGGGAGCATGGTTAGCCAGTCTGTCCAATTTAGAGTATTGCTCGCGGATACCATCCACCGTGTTCTTCAGCAACCACACCCTTCCTTCTCCAGTGGATCCTGAATCTCAGACTGGCTCTATCCCTTGTTTATTGAGACTGGATAGGACATGGGGTGACTGCCTGGGGAAGTAGAAGCATGTCGTATAAAGGAATATATTCATTACTTGTGCCTAGGAAAAGGGGAAAAGATGGTGGCATTACTTGTGCCTCTCAGTTATGCTTCTCTATTACAGAATATAACAATATTTCTACTAGACGTAAAAAAAAAAAAATACCTTGCTGAACACGTGGTTATCTGCCCAAATAATTGTAAGAACTATTGCCTCAAACAATGAGGAGATTAATTTCCTTATAGAAGAAACAATTAGCAAAACTTATCATAAATACAACATATGTTGGTATGCAAATAGCATGCTTTAATTTGAATAAAAGTGTGCTACAAATTCTGTACAGTGCTGTACGAATGTAGGTAATATAATTATCAAATCATTCATATTGACTTGTATATATTTCCAGGACAGTCTGCTTCACCTAAATAGTCCTGACATTGCTTGTCTCTCTTCCTAAATACAGAAAAATAAGACCAGCAGTTTACCTGCTAAAATGGTAAGATGATGCTAATCCTGGCTCTGTTTCCATCTCTCACAAGCAGGGATTCCCAGATCTGAGCGATGGCTGTTGAGAACTGCACTGTGATTACTGACTTCAGGCTCCTAGGACTCTCTGGCAGGAAAGATGTGCAGCAGGGACTCTTTGTGCTCTTTTTGCTAGTTTATGGCATAACCGTGATTGCCAATCTAGGGATGATCCTGCTGATCAAGCTGGACTCCAGCTGGACTCCATGTACTATTTCCTGAGCAATCTGTCTTTCTGTGATGTCTGCTACTCCTTCACTGTCTCTCCCAAGATGCCGGCTGACTTCTCGTCTGAACAAAAGAGGATTCCATATAATTTATGTGCAATTCAGATGTATTATTTCGGGGTCTTTGCAGATGTGGAATGTCTCGTGTTGGCTGTCATGGCTTAGGACAGGTATGTAATCATTTGTAACCCACCTCTTTATACAATCGTCATGTCCAGGAAAATCTGCATCCAGCTCGTGTCCCTTGCCTACTTTGTGGACCTAGTGGATTCGGCAGTCCACACCTGCTGCACATTTCGATTGTCATTCTGCAATTCCAATATCATCAGTCACTTTTTCTGTGACATCCCACCCTTGCTAGCCCTCTCATCTTCAGATACACCCATCAATGAGATAGTGATGTTCACTCTCATTGGTTGTGTGGTGGGGTGCAGCAGCATCACCATCCTCCTCTCCTGCAGCTACATCATAACTACCATCCTTAGAATGAACTCAGCTGAGGGGAGATGCAAAGCCTTCTCTACATGCACCGCCCACTTAACCACAGTGGCTGTATTTCACAGCACACTCCTGTTCATGTATTCCTGACCCAGCTCCAGTTACTCCATGGACACAGACAAAATGTCCTCTGTCTTCTACACGGTGGTCATTCCTATGTTAAACCCACTCATCTACAGCTTAAGGAATAAGGATGTGAAAGGTGTCCTGAAAAAAGCAATCAGCACTAAATTATGTTCTGGGTGAAGTTGTATTTTTCACCCAATGGTATTTATTCAAAGATTCTTGTAAATTGAAGCTGAGGTCCTTTGACATACATTCCTATAGTCTCACCAACACAACTTTCTAGATCTTTCCTATTATTTATCATTATACTAAATTGAGTGTGGGAAGAGTCATTATTGATCTTGGTCTTCTGTTCAAACAAAGGAAGAGTAATACTAGGTTCAATTCCTGGTTTGCAAAAAGGATCTTTTCATACTTGGCTTCTCTGTTCAAAGTTCCACAAATGCAACGCCCTTTCCAGTATTGTTCGCTAATATTTCTACTTTATTATTTACAAAGCTCAGGTCCAAATGTCATTTAAAACATTTGTTAAATAAATGCATGAGTGTCCCCTGCGAAACTGATGCAAAGGAGCCTTTGCAAATTCACACACACACACACACACACACACACTCACGCACTCTCTCACAAACACACACACATACACAAACACACTCACACAGAAACTTGTTTTTTAAATATTATTCTAGTATGTTCATCTTGGATTAAATCTTCCTGCACATCTTTTCTTTTGGCCTAGGCTTAAATAACCATCAGGGACAGGGAGGGATCATTTGCAGTAAAGATCTTTATGGACCATGTATTCCTCATCATTCTGGCCCAGTTATATCAGCAGACATCCTCAGGATCAATTGTTCTAGATTCATATTCCATCTCAGAGTGCACATTAGCCTGTGGATTTCCCTTCCTGCCCTCACTCTGGAGAACAGATATGGTGCTGTTGACAACTGTATAGAAGCTGCACAAAGGAAAGTTGAAGATAAAGGACCCGCACCTTTTCCAAAGGCCACTGGAAAGACGACTCAGTCTCATTGATGTGTTCATAGCATTACACTAATAATTTTTTTTAAATCCCTAATTGATACAATTTAAATTGAAAGGAAGATTTATTTT